CGAACAATTTCTATGTTGAAATAAATTTGAGGTAGGCGATCAGAATGAAAGTCCAATCAATACAATACACAGTTTTTGTTGATCAATTACTGATAATAATCAACATAGATGAATTACTTTTTAGCAAACTAGACGTTTTGTTAGATAGATAAACACAATTATTACTTATTAACAATATAGTAGTAGTGTGATATAAGTTACCTAGAAAAAAATTACATGGACAAACATGTATTTTTCGCTGAGGTTTTACTAATTTTGATTATTTCTCGGTAAGAACTTTCACAACAAAGATTTTTTGTGTGACTAAACAGACACGACAAGAGGATCTTACATCAACAGCTAACAGTTTGTGGCTTCAGTTGTTTGGTGTTGAGTTTAAGTAATTTGAAAGGAAGTACAGTGTTTACAATTGAGATCGTATGTCTGTTGATCGACTACACGATGCTAACTTCGTAGTGACTTTCTAGATCTTAAGATTACTCCTAAAATTAAGCCTCGAATTAAGAGTAAAGGGACAAAGTAAAAGTAAGAGCTTTACTTCAAGATTCATTAATATACAGAAAACAACAAAATTGTATTTTAGTAAACTTTAACCTCTGAAAACTGAAAAGGTATTAAATTTAGTATCAAATTAAGTAATTACTAAGTCAGAGTATCCCAAATTCTAAATCAATTTTTCTTGGTGTATACTGATTGGATTTAACATTCTCAGATTTTATGACTTTTGAAAACCTTACAGGGGAAATCTCAGTGGGATCTGAACAGATCACAAGCCGGTTATTACATAATCACTTGGTTTTATTTCATATTTTAGATACTTCACTAACATTCACGTACGATGTTGAGTTCAATTGTAATATTAACTAGGTCTCTTAATTATATAATTACCCATTTTTTAGAAATTTTTATTTTGTTGCTTAATTATCATTTATAGCATCATCCACTTGTTTATATGATCTGATTTTCAACATGTAAATACCATCAGTACTTAGTTATGTGGAGATCACAGAATTTCCATATCATGAAATGGAAGATGGTTTGATAATATCGTGAACTGAATGACGTAATCACCACTGTATGGTGGCTCAGTGGTCTGGAGGTATGCCACTTGCCATGAGATCGGAAGGTCTTGGGCTCGGTTTCCTGTGTCACCGTCATGTACAGTCCCATACTAAAACGAAACAATAGTAAAAACAGAAATTAGAGTAGAATAACATGAATTCATCATATTTCATCCGGTCCTTTTTAGCTGCTTACAACTTGTGGTATTTAAAAATCAAGTTTACTGAGTTGAAAATATTTAAGTAGATGAATTCGGTTGTAAGTCGCTGTAATCGCAAAGGTGTAAATAAGTTTTAAGGACCAAATAAAAACCTCAAATACCTTTGCGTAAAGGTGTAAAACTGCATTCTAAAACACTAACACCAATAAAAGTTATAAACAAAGTTCTAGAAATGATTGCTTAATTAGTCAAAAAACGGTAATGATAAGCAAGAATAAAATGGTTAAATGTCATTTAGTTGACGCTAAAACTATTGAACTAGAAGAAAGCCAAAAATGTGACGTAAAAACCAGTCGATTGAGAGGAAGAGTTTAAATAAATTTAATGATGTAACGAAATGAAGTTTATGTTGTCGAGGCAGAGAAAGATTAATAACTATTTCTTTTTGAATACATAAATTAGATCCTTGATTCCTTTCAGGAATAGCATCAGCAAACTTGTCTGTTAATTACCCTGAAAGATATTAAGGTATTAACTTGATATTTGCTGTTCAAGAGATCTCCAGAAATTGTGGTATTCAGTATACTTCTCCTTCTTGGCAGAAGACTTTTTAAACATGTCCTAAGAAATTAATATCTCTCCTTTCTGCTCAACTAATGTAGCTGCTATGGTGTATTTATGTTAATTTATAGACACAATCGGCGGTAATATAAAGAGGGTATTTGTTAAAATTTCACTAACTTATTAAATATCCTGCATAAAATTTCAGGTTTAATAGTTTGGCTACTGAGTAGGTTCTGAATGATGCAGTGCTAAGCCCTCAACTGATTACTCCTGAAGCATTGTCACTTGCAAAAAAATGGATACTTTATTGGATGCAACAGCACCCGACTTGTTATATTTAGTTGTCCCAGAATTCTCAATAAGCTTCTGTGTCTGGAAGTTGTCTCTTAAGCAATATTTAGTATCATCAGTTTTTTCCCAAATTCGTCAGTGATGTATATCTTATCTATGCTATAAAACACTGTTTTGATCAATGCTTTCTTGAAACTGATTGAGACGTAATGTCTTTTCTTTAGGGTCCTACCATAGTAATCATGTAAGTTTGGTAGGTAAGAATACAATTACAAAGATACGAGAGCAAAGTCATACAATTAACTGCGGGCTGTTTTTTATCGATTAGCAGGACCTCCGATATTGGTACTTTCTCATGGACAGTAGGTTTGTGAATTATCAAACTAATACAACAAAAATAGCTAACCAAAGTTTTTACCTGTGACCTGCCCCAGTCTATTGTGCTTTGCTCTGTAGTCACACTCCGAAATTGAAAATGTCCCGATTTTAAATTCACTTCCTTTTTCAAGTTATTTAGGATTATATATCCTTTCACAGTGAAGTAAATCGGAAATATCCAAAAGTCCACACAACTTTAACAATACTTTAGCTAATCTTCTCTTCAACAAATTATCCTCTTTGATTCGTAGTATTACTTCTGTTCCTATTATCAACCTTCTTCTAGTTTCATCTTCTATCTTACACGCAAGAGGTGCTAACGGCCCTCTCTTATCATGCGCCTACCTTTCTGCAGTGAGGTAACTACTTGCTAAAATGTACAATGTTCAAGCCCTATATCAGAGTGGACAATTTGTTTAACTTATCTTGAAATTTTATGTCATCTATTTTTTCCATATCCCCTAAATCCTGATACAGGCCCTGGCAATGGCGATTCGCTTTAAATTGCTTAACCATTAAATTTAATTTGTTTTTTCGGGTTCCAGAACGAATAATTGGTCAATTTTATATTCAATAATTTTCACTTCGTTTCAAACTCTTATCCAGCATTATTACTAATCAGGCATCTAGAAATGAGAGATCATCTTTTTCTTCTCCTTCTAAGGTGAATTTGATAAATAGATAAATACTGCCGAATTTGTCAACCTTATTGTATAAAAATCATGAATGTATCATCTTTGTAGTTACTGTAGAAACCTATCTTGCTGACAAGTACGTTAATGAGACTGTCCTCGAGTTTTACTTGGAGTAAGAATAACGGTTGCATTTTTTTCCCAGGAAGATGAAATTTTTGTGATGTCAGGAGGGAATTATGACAAATTATATTGATTTTTTCAGAAATTGTTGATAGATCATGGGTAAAATTAATTATTTTACTACTTAGTGCTATCAAGTGATATATATATATATATATATATATATATATATACTCTGGAAATTGAACAGTGGTTTAGTAGTTTAAGTATATAACTACGACAGAAAATATGTGGTCTCACTGTAGGTATCCTGTACTAGATGTTCATCGGTATAGTGCTGGAAGAAGGCCAAACTAGCTCCGTTGACTAGTTTAATCCTCATGCCTCATCTCATAGGACTGTATACGTAGGCTTTTGTCGGGGAATATTTTGTTACTTATATGTGAACATCCTCTACAATATAGCTCGATGAACGACAATGAAAGCTTATATTTTGTAACATTTGGTTAATAGTAAACTTGATGCGTAAGACTAATTATTCAACATAGTTTATAAGAACACAGATGTCAGTCTAAGTTGGAAAAGTACTTGATAAATGATTACATAAATTTAAAAAATTACTCCTCTTACAAGTAGACAGGTTATACTTAGTAAATAATCCGACATGTTTTAATAGAAAGTTAGTTGAAACATTCGTTTAGAATATCTGCCAGTCAATCAAAGACCATTTATCCGTGATAAACTGTTACTTATCAATTTCAGAGTATATACTTTTATAGGGTTTATGATATACTTAGCTAGTTAATTTGGAATCTTTGTCAATACGACTTCATACACTAAAATCGACATCTGTCAGAAGATAAGCATTTGAAGATTTCATCTACAAGACCACGTCCTATGTTGAAGTCTACGGATAAACATCACAAGTTGGTTTTTCAGAAATGCACATTCTGTTGAAACTAAGCTAACATCATGTTTCCATTCATAAATTAAGATATAATTAGTATTCAGTTTTATAACTAACAACCGTCAATAATTAGATATAATAATGTAATAATGTTTCGAAAAAAATTTCAGGTAAGTAAAACGTGTATTTAAACTGTTAAATATAATTATCTGTTTAGGGTGATGGGGGTTGTTGAGTTTTGATAGAGATTATTAATGGATCAATGTTAGACCACTATTGAAAACCTGGAAGAACTGGACAGCCGTTTCGTTCTAGTATGGGACTCGTGAGCAGTACATATTCACAACTCGCCATCCGGAATTTGAACCTATGACTTTCGGTCTCGCACGTGGACACAGTTCTCCCTGAAGACAATCGGGGACGATCGTGCAATATCGTGGATTGGTTGAAGTTAGACATTAACACCCTTGGATGTTGGTTTGGTGGTCTAGAAGTTAAGCGTCCTCAAGTGAGAATGAAGCTCGAGTCCCGGGTGCGGCGTTGTGGATTTGCACTGCTCAAGAGTCCCATGCTAGAACAAAACGGCCTTTCAGTTCTTTCAAGTTTTTAGTGGTGGTCTAACATTGATCTACTCATGATCTCAGTGTCAAATATGATTTAAGTTAACAATTCCAATTTATATTAAAGACTTGATAATTGAAATCGAGATCATATGAATTTTGAACATATTTGTGACTAAAAGCGTCGGAGTCACTCCAACACTTACTGCCAACGTTTTCTCTATAATTCAGTCTATGGAACTTGAGATACCTTACCTATTTCCTATTTCTTTCTAATACAGTTTGATTTTGGTTAAACACGGAGATCTGGCCTACAGAAATGTTATAATGAAGAACAAAACAACTAGGTATGTCATCCGATTATTCAGGTTCTCCATAATCTTCATCTGTCAAACTTATTCACCGACCCGTTAGTCAAGATGTGTAAATTAAATATTCATCCCACTCCAAACTTAGATTTATAAGTGACTATTAAAACTGGATAAAATCTGTAAGAGTCATTGTCCTTAAGTTTATAAAATGTTATTTGTTAAAACAGTTAATAATATCCTATTTCTACCGAACATATTCAAGGTATGTTTATTTGTGGATAAAAAGATTTAACAAAGTTTCAAAATCATCGGAAGTTCTTCATTAAAAAGTGTTCCTAGAAATTTAACACTAGTTTCCACTACATGATAACATTATAAATGAAGTTATTATAAACCAGGATGTACTAAAAATCAGGTTGAGAAGCATTATTATCTCAGCGATCAAGTCTTGGATATTCATATCTTGTAGTGAGCATAATACTCATGGAGCTTTAGGTCAGAATGCAATAACAGTTAACATTAACACAATCATAAGTTTAACATAGTCTTAAAATTGTAACTATAGTAGTTAATAGAGTAAGATTTCGAATGCGTTATATATATATATATATATATATATATATATATATATATATATATATATATATATACGAGTTAAATCTATAAAATAATATTTTTTTATTTACATTGATTACAATATAGTTTATTCATAAAATCATCTTATCGTTAGGATTATACAGCATTATTGTTTTACTCATTCAATATTTATGTAAGGATCAAAATTTGTATTTTTATTGAACTTTGTATTTTTAATATATTTCAGCTGAACGGTATGAAGTGATTTTCATTTGAATAAACTTATATGAGAAATAAATATGTGTATTTATACAAGAAGTGGTGTAGGCATATATCAATATTTGTATAACTTTACATATATATAGTACCGGTACTATGATTGGTTTAAATAGTCTATTAGAATCTTTTTAATCACTAAGTATTAACTACAATTTATGTTACAAGTATGAGATTATTAAATCACATTAGAAATATGACATTTCTAATTTACCATAAATTTCATAATTTATTTAATTCAAATAATAAATGTTTAGCATATTTTATAATTATCATGTTTATTACAATTTTGTATTATTCAATTCTAATGAAACTAATAAATCTTGAAGTTAAATATATAATTGCTCCAACTTCATCTCGGAAATTTATACAATTTACTAACAATTCATTATCAACAAATTATACTACTGAAATTTTGACACATCGTATAACTAGTTCAACTCCTATAATTACCACTAAAACTTTTCATCCTCAACGCCATCATCATCATCATCGTCCACGTTATGGTCACAGAAAAATGAGATTAAGAAAAGTAAAGTCTTTAAAGTCAAAATTTCAAATACATTCAAGATTAAATTGGAAAACAAAAGAAAATAATCATGTTTTTTCACAAAATTTCTTTCCTCCATTATATCTTAATCATTCATTTTGTTTAAATCAATCAAATTTTTATATTAATAATGAAAAATATATTAAATTAAAAAAATATCGACAAATTATAAATTTAACTAATGTATTAACATTATTTAATATAAGTCAATGGTTAAAAATAAAGCCAAATATATGTCAATCTACTAAAATAAATTTATTAATTATTATATTCTCTCCAATGATAGATAATTCAATTCGATATAAAATTCGTCAAACATGGGGTTCAATTAAATATATTTTAAGTGATACCATTATTAATAAACAATATTCTAATGGATTAAATATTATTGAACATTTATTTATTGTTAATATTACAAAACATAAATTTAAACAAAATTCAATAAAAATTCAAAATCTTTTAAATGAAGCACAATATGAAAAAGATATTTTACTTTTATTTTTAAATAATTTACAAAATAATTTAGCTTCATTATATATTTTAACAAGTGAATTTTTATTAAATTATTGTAAAAATTCTATAGATTTTGTTTTATTTATTAATCAAGATTTATTTCCTAATTTAAATGCTTTAATACAATATACAAATTCAAAATTATTACATTTAACATCGAATACATTAAAACAAAATAATAATAATAATAATCCATCTATGTATTGTATACCAATTATACAAAAACATGTTGAATTTAATAGTCGATTTAAACATTTATTTAAAAATCATTTACCATTATGGCAAGGAAATATTTATCCAACATATTGTGATATTAAAACTGGTGGTTTTTTATTATTATTTAAAACAATGAAACAATGGTATACATGTTCACGTTTATATATACCATTTAATCCTATACAAGTATATTTAACTGGTTTTATAAGATATGTAGCTAAAATTGATATTGAAAATTATTGGATAAATTATTGGTCAATTGGTAATCTATTACCAAGTGTATCATTAAATAAGAAAAGTAAAAAATATTTATTTTTTCAAAAATCAATTAATCAAAATAGTCGAGTATGGAAAAGTGTATTTCGTGCAACATTGAGTTGATAATACCATATATATATATATATATATTTTTTTTTTTTTTTTCTGAATCTTTTGTTTTCATTGAGTGGAATTATATTAATTTAAATCAATGAGTCATTTGAAATAAAAATATAGATCAACTTTATTACTTACTTACTTACTTATGGATAGGACATACATTACGTAAATCATTAAACTGCATCACTAGGCAAGCTCTAACTTGGAATCCTGAAGGGAAGCGAAGAAAGAGGAAGGCTAAAGAACATATTACGTCGGGAAATAGAATCACATATGAAAAGGATGAATAACAATTGGAAAGAGCTGGAAAGCAGTGTCCAGGACAGGATTATATGGAGAATGCTAGTAAGCAGCCTATGCTCCTTTACGAGGAATAACAGGCGTAAGTAAGTACTTACTTACTTACTTAAACCTCTTTCCCCTATTGAGATATAGGCTAACAACCAGTGATCTCTAACTAAAATAGTGCTGAGTTCTTAAACTAGTTGTTGGCGGATGCTATCCATTTCTTTGTTGTCTGCCCTCAGTTCCTGGCATCATATATTTTTCTGACTGCTTGTTTTCCTTTTGCCTTGAAGATTTCAAGTAAGGGCTTGCTTAGTGATCCATTTTGATGATTTTACATAATTTGCATACTATCTACCTTCGGAGTCTTTTTCTAAATTATTTAACTGCAACAAATTTTGTTATCTGACAGTAGCTTACACCTGATGATTTCTAACTAATAGATATGGAATATTTTACGTCGATGGTTATTAATAAATACTTGTACTTTTGGTGATGATTTAGGTAGTTCTTCATATTTTAACTCCGTACAATGGACCTGTTTTAATTTTTGAGTTAAAAGTTCTTGGCATTTGGTCTTGAGTGATAGTTCTCAAGGCCCAGATTTTTATTCAGTCGTAGGCATGTCCTCCTTGAATTGCTAATCCGTGCTTTGAAATCTGTGTCAGATCCTTCTTGTTTATCACCAAATCTGTTTACCTATTTAAAGGCTTCACCTCTTCCAGGGCATCATCACCAAGTGTGATTTAAGTTTACCTACTTTGTTGTACATCAGGACCTAACATTTGTGTTTTTGGATGCTGAAGTCTATATCTGATGACGAAACCGCTGATACGTTGACTGCCTTTGTTTGCATTTGTTGCTGTTTATGAGACAGAATAGTTGAGTTATTTCAAAAACCCATCATATTCCCTACTTTTTCTGAGATGTCAAGGTCACTATCCATCCGACAGCTAGAAGAAAGAGAAAAGGAGAAGATAAGCAGCCTGTATGACATCAGTATTCACTTGGAATGTATCTGTGAGCTACTCTCCGTTCACAACTTTGCAATTCAGTCCGTTGTAGGAGTTCTATATGATAGTGACAATCTTCCTATGTATTACATACTGTAGAAAAATTCCATAATGTTCTCGTATTCACACTATTGAATAATTTGTTATAATCAAAGATGTTGATGTATGGCGGTGAATTCCTTTCAAGTGACTGATCAATGTCACGATTTGATGGGTACATGGCTGATCCCTACGTAAGCCAACTTGTTGGTCCCGAAGTTAGGAATCTACTGAATCTTTCATTCGGTTGAGCGACATTATTTTGAAGACTCTTCCGATACTGATAATGTTGTAATTCCTCTGTAGCTCTCACATTCATTAAGATCTCCTTGACAGGGTATCCCTCATTGGAGTCTTTTGTTACTTGTTTTTCTCAAATTTTTAGGAGAAAAGGATATGGGACATATTTACAGTTACCTCAATATTTGATTTCAGTTCTAAGTTGTGATTAAACTGTTTGGTTTAACGCTCAACTTACCCAATGAGTCGGTGAGCACCTCCCTTAGGCTGAGGAAGGGCATGACAAGAACAGTACTCATCCCCATTCTGTCACAATTAGTCAATGACAATCATCATCATTCAGAGTGATTATCGTATACTTACTGTTTTTCCTTCCATCTCGTCTCTTACTTATGGCTGAAGTTATAGGGATTCGGGTCAATGACCAAAACATTTGTATTTATAAGATATCTTCAATACCGTCTCTTCTTCGCCTGAGTTAGGCATAGCGAAATATTTTCCTGATTATTATAATTTTTTTCATATATTTCTTTTCATTTATCTTTATCCACCTCTTTTTCAAATATGTCCTTTTCTATAGAATAATTTCAATACTTCTTATTGTAGTGGCTGATCCTATGTCGAGACCATATATCTTATTCTAGCTTCGGGAAAGGCCAATTTTCCCATTCTTCTTAAGTCATATTTTTACATTGTTAATCATTCACTTATCAACCTTGACTGTTTTTATATGAGCGTATGTGTGTGTACATCCTATTTCACTCATCATATGTCTGTAACCTATTTTTATCTGGCTCACACGCCTCCACCGCGCATCATTTCTATTCGTCTCTCTGATTGTCTGCCCAGATCAATGACTGTGCAGAATATATATTTTCGAAATCCACTCTCGTATTTGGCTTATTTAATTTCGTTATTCGTTGGAGCGGTTTAAGCCGATAATTATATACGAGGATTGGCAACATATACATTTCGACATGTATATCTCAATAACGATCAATAATACGATCGAACTGGAGTCAGATATAGGGACACTAAATTAGTATTTTCAGTTTGGGATTGTGGAAATTAATGAATTTCATTGAAATCACGAACCAATCAATGTAAGACAGTTGGATGCCGGCTCCGAGGTCTAGAGGTCAAGCATTCGCGAGCGGAATCGAATGTCCTGGGTTCGAATCACGCTTGCGGGATCGTGGGCACACACTTCTGGGGATCCCATACTGGGACGAAACGGCCGCCCAAGGCTTCCAAGTTTCCAGTGATGGTCTGACATTAATCGGTTCATGATTTTATTGGGATATCACACTGTTAGTTTAGTGATTTTTAATGAATGTTGGCTCAATGTCTGTGTTTTCTAAGCCTAAGACCTATTTCCTATTATGAAACATTGATTCAAGCCCTTCTTATTCTTATCGCAAATAGTATATCTATTGTCTCAATGTCAAGTTGTACCTTTTACTTATTATATCTGGCTATGTAATCTGTTGACTCATAAATTGTCTTGGTTGATTTATTATCTTCATAATATTCATATAAACATTACTGTATATTAGAGTACCACCTGATAAAAATCTGATTGAAAGAAAATATTGTTGGTTTATACATGTTCTGATTTACAAGATAAGAATTTTTAATATGTTTTAAGTATATTGTAAGAGGATGTAGAGAGGAATTTTAATTTTCAGTAGATGGGTATTGTAATTTAATTATCGTTTGTTTTTAACTGTAGCTAATGGTATATCATAACGTTTGCATCATATGTAGCATGTCTTGGTAGGACTTTGAAAATTTAAAAAAAACTGAATTTCATCTTTATGAATTCATGATAACCTGATTCCAAAATACATAAATATAGTGTGTTTTCTTTTATCGAAGGCATGAAAGTGTACTCTTATGAAATTTTACGGATTAAAATAATTTAGCTGTTTGAAGGTAGTTTAATGTTAACTAGTTCCTCAATTAACACCTTTTTATGACAAAACCTATAGCGAAATTCTAAAACTAACAACTTTTACTCTATGTATCTAATCCAATTCCAAACCACAAAAATGTGTTGTGAGGTTGTACGAGTCTGCAACTGATGTATACACTTTTTATATGTGTACACAAACTAGTCACTTGAATAAGAAAACGAAGACTAGGAAGCTTTTATTGGCAAACGGAATTGAGAATACATACACAACTCAGTCGTAGTTCTCAGAAGATTAGACCTTATTTTTGACCAGTATCTATTTCTTTAGACAATAAAGCTAAGTGTTGACTAATACCATGAGACAGTTAGCACATCGTACTTCTCCTTACCTGCATTTAATTGGCCCAGGATATCATTTTTTCGTAAAAAAAATAAGCCTTGCTATTTAGTTTTAGTTCTTAGAATTCAAATGGGAGAATATCCAATAACAGAAAAATATTTAGTCGTCAAGTACAGGAAAAACGGAAATGATATTTGTTATCTACCCATTGCCTCCATTTTCTTGAAAAATCAAAGAAATCAAAATGAAATTTTTTTTAGGCAACAGTTAACTGATTAGTTTATGAAGATATTTAATAAGGTTGAAGATGGTTTACATCATGTACCGATACAAGTAGAAGAACTGTTGGAGATATTGGATCTCCAAATACAACGTATTAGGAAGAAATCAATCTTAAAATTTCATGTGTTGATATAGGATGATTAACGTTTAGTCATTTTTCAGGACCCTTTCAATTTTATTGATTCATTCAGTGGGAAATTCATTTACTTTAACTTTCAATGAATTATAATATATTTGTATTGGTTGTTTGAATCAACCTGTTGGTGTTCAACGCTGCAGTTGATCAGTTTGTTTTGGCCGGATTTGAGAACTGGTATGAACATCAACTCTGGTAGGCATGTACATCTAGCTGACGAGTTTCAAATGGGAAGTAGCGCGAGTCCTGGATTCCAACATTACCTATCATCCATCTCAGTTTATAATTTCAGTGAATTGTCAATGTATTAGTAAAGTTACTGTAACATTCATTCAGTATGACAAGTTCTTTATTAATAATCACTGAATGTAATTGGTATATAATTGAATGATTTCAAACGTAAATTTATTCCAGTTCTTATTGGGTCTCTATCAATAAAATTCTGGAAAATCTTGGATTACTGTCTATAGTTGGTAAGTAGAGAAGACGACAGAAAGTAGCCTCCTTCATAACCATTTAAGTCCGAGTTACGAATCATTAGCTGGGTGCACAATCATAACGAGATGAATTGAAAATTAAAGAGTATTCAATATGCACTACTATGTTCTCCCAGTTTAAGACTTCCAGTAGTATGTACCGACAAACTTAACAAGGTTAGAAACACTTTATGTTTAGATCACATGATAAGTCAGTATTCATTGTTCAATATTTTTGTAGTTTTTCACTTCAACTAAATAGATTAAAGTTTATGTA